TCCAAAATTACATACCGATTGAATTTAAATTTTAATCGGGGATAAGTAACTATATGTGTGGTATCAAATGAAAAGGGTTAAAGATTCTCAAATAGGTATATATTCTTTATTTTTTTAAAGCAAATAAATTTACACTTCATTATGTAGTCAACAGCACGTCGAGTTATACAAAGTTATCAAATTCCCCTACTCTATTTTAAACCGCAATAAATTGAGAATAGAGGTCAAAATTAATCGTATAAACATATTGTGGTGAGCTGACCTGCATCTATTATAAGTAGTCCAGTGCGAAGTAGCTCCCTCATTGTCTGCTGCACTCCGCTCACTTACTTGCGTGCATGATGAGACAGTTTAGTAGTACAGTAAATAACTCGTAGTATGCTGCCTAGTTTTTGATGAAAAAATTAAGTGGTCGGATATTAATAACATTTGTACAATAATTCTAGAAACATGACTGTTTATATAATTTAATATGCCTTAATTACCACATATTTTTAATATTCCAATAACCGATGCAGTTAGTTCTCGGAACGGCAACTTATAGGTAGAAGTTGGTTTCGCGCCGGCACTGCCACCTAGTATTCCAGCACCTGACCACAGGGTACTAAGTGATGTATAAGCTATTAGTATTTCAACATACTGAATTATTAGAAAGCTCTTGCACATTTTTATCTCGAACTCTTCATCTACAAGGGTAAATAGCAATAAAAACAGTACATATGAAAAAAAAACACATTTATTAAAAATTACATTGGCACACGTCATTGTGTATCTTAAAAAAACATACAAAAATCAAACTAAACTTTCTAAAACTTCTTGGAAATTTCTAATAAGTCAGGTTTGGTCCCCTTAATAAGTAATAAAAATAAATTATATTTACATTACTATGGCAATTATATAGGTACGAAATGTCTTTGGGCTTGCCACTACACAATATATAGAACGATGACTAAATAATTATTTATTAGAGTAGGCCCATAAAATTTCAAACTTATTGACTTTGACAAATTAAGTTTTCAATAGAAAATGAGGGATTTTAATGGAGCTGTATTGTCACGGATCGACTGCATAGTCAACACCACATCGAGTTACCACAATGGGAGAATCTCTGGTCTATTTTAAGCCTTAATCTGCTGCGTTATAAATTGATTTGTTGCTATTTGAACATTACGTTTATATTGATAAACATTAGAATATTTTGGAAATAGAAATATTTTTTGAAGTATGTAAATATCCGGCGAATGTAACATAAAATCGTTGTTTACGTTTACTACAAAGAATATACTCTTTAAGTTAAATGGAAAGTCGGAGTGCATAAAAGAAGTTCATCACATAATTAAACAACCTATTATTGTTTTTTAAGACACCATGTCTTTTCGACAAAAATAATTTCAATTGAGAAAACAAAAAATCAGAAAACGCACATTTCGTCATTTAAAGTGGCACACGCAACATCTTGTTACAAGAGAAGTATGTCCCTATACACTATACAAGTGCCAGGCTTCGTGGAGTGAATGAGTTAAGTATACTGACCAAATTTGACTAAGGGAGCAACACTGAATTCACGATAAAATAATCAACTGTTTCATATTGCTGGCGTTTGTAGGGATTTAACTAACTCATCCATCTTACGAAATCCTGGCATATAATATTACTTTTAATAGTAATAAATAAGGCATGCTACACATGTTAGTATAAAATTGTAGAGCAGGGAAGTTAGGTCTCCAGCTGTGCCTTGGTTATAAACAGTGAGAAGGTCGCGGTTTGGCGTCAATTAAACCCCACGTTGGGCGCCAGTTGAACTCCACGTTGTGCGCCAGTTGAACCCCACGTTGGGCGCCAGCAATTCGTAAGTTCATAAGTAATAACTGAGGATAAGCTTGAATAACTTTGCAATATAAAGGGAAAACTATTTAAATATAAATAACGCTATGGGAACATAAGACTATTCCACAATGGTTTGTTTATAGTTATATATCAGTACTGCATGCGCCAGTAGTGATTATTAGAGTCGGCAATCTTCTCTCTCTTTCTAACCCAGGTTTAGAGGCTTACAAGCTATCTAAAGTCGAAATTATATTACGAAATTAGTGTTATTATTATTATTCGTAATTTTATGGGTCTATAGTAACTCTTTCAGCAAGGTAGCCTCCAGTCTATGATATTCCTGGCGTTTATAGCTTTTATATTTTATAGGCTGATTATTATTAGGCACATACAAATTAATGTGATGCATGACGAAGCATTCACCACGTTGACAATTTTAATTTCGTAATATAAATCGGCTTAAGTTAAAATAAAGATATTTTGCACATATAATCTTTAACTTACCTTTTCAATTTGCAAAATGTCATTTCACTACCAACAATTTTATCATCCTGACATAAGTATAAAATAATTACATATTTAATATCAACAAATAAGCGTATTCTGTGTTCGTATAATAGAAATGTTAAATCCTAAAGAGAGCTACATACCTTTCTTCAAAATCTTCTTCGAAACACAAGTTGTAGTCGTGATTATAAAATAAATGGACATCAAAAAAATTAGAGGATTTTATAAAAATCCAAACCTTATATTTATCTTTATAAAAATAACAGGCACGTTTTGTTAACCCATAAAATATAAGGATGCATTTGCGATCCGGCCAACAGCGTAGCCGAAGCTATAATTGTGGCCAACAACGTAGCCATTGCACGGCAAGTGAATTGAACCAAAATGGTATTTTTTCGCACCTGTGCGAGTTATGGAAAATAACTTCGTTGAAATAGTAACACGGATATAATAATCAACGCATGGCTTGAATGGTAATACAAGTACAATTGTTCAAATAAACATTTTAGACCATTATTGACAATACGAGATGGGTATCCTGTCGGTATTATTATTGTAAACGCAAGATGATTACAATCACAAAATGGCCAGTTACATTTATTATTTAATATCAAATAAAATGAAAGAACTTAGCTTTTAGTACGAATCTGCATAATTTTCGTTTTTTTTTTTCTACAACACATTAGTTCAACTTAGTTACAAACTTATAATACTAATTGGCTACGCTATTGGCGGCATTACCTAATGACGTTACTACTGCACTCAGAGACGTCACTTAAGTTTAATAGTACTAAGACAAGACAAAATTATTGAATGAAAAAAATACAATTGATAATACATTATTTAATTGGCATCTCTGAGTACAGCAGGTAATTGTATATATTTAATAATGACACAAATATTCCAGTTTTTTTTTGTATCAAACTACATATTCACAATTGAACCTTAACATAAATTCGTTATGCTATAGGCACATCAGACATCATAATTTAAAAATCCTAACTATAAAAGTACTAAAAAAATATTGTCACATTTGTTATCAAAGGGAGTCAAGTCTTAAAATATATCATGAGGTATTTCAATTACCTTAACCTTGGCGTATTTTTACATGGTAGTTTTGCCCTTTTTTTGTGGTATTCGTTTTTATTTCAAAATTTCATATACTGGATAGCGGTAAAACAAAACAGCATCAAAAACAAATTATATCTCATTTATAATAAAAGGGCCACAGACAGAGCTTTTAATTACTATGTTAAAATTCTTATAATTTTAACTTCTCTCTGTATAAGCACTCACTGAGTACTAATTAGTCACTCGAGGTTTGTTACACACAACATTAGGTTATTATTTAATGTCAATTCTAAAATACAAATTTTCAACTTTACTAAAAATGTTTTATGGTTTAAAATGAAATAATAAAATTACAAATCTAATTTTCTGTTACCAGATTATAAACTTTTTACGATCAGGTTTATTATTTCTTAAAATAGAAATATAATCAACAAATGATTACCCAAATGCAGAATTCGTCGCAAACATTAAAATCACAATAAAAATTTTCAATTATACATAAAAAGGTCAAAGCACAATAACGCAGAGTCGAAGAGTCAAAAGATTCTATTGAGATAAAAATATTTGCAAGCCGAAAAGCCTTTTTTAATATGGAATTGTTCCGTTATACACTGAAATTTTGCCAACATCCCGTAGTGAGAGAGACACGTGATTCAAGAGTTTAATTTTATTCTGTATAAATATGACATATCAATCAAACTGCCATTAAAAGAAATTTGTATTATTTTGTTCCAAACGTCAATCACACCGACACATCCAACATTTGGCAGTATTTCTGTGTATAACGGAAAAATGGCCAAAATAAAAAAGAAAACATAATACTGTAAAAGTTACTGCATTTAATGCACATAGCTTAGCAAATAATTATAGTTTTTGTTTTATGGAAATCGGGACAGGATTTCCGAAATTACAGTGTTGTAATCATTGCTTTTTAAAATTTGCGTTCCTACGCGCGCTATAGCGATGACGTCACACTGCGAGTATCATTGATTGCGGGTGGTGTAAAGTATTTACGTTACGTGCAAACTTACGAAGAAATTATCGAATGAAAATGTGCAACAATGCACGTGACTAGTCTGTGAGAGGACCTACTCATTTCATAACTTTTAACTACTTTTTCCGAATATATTTCTTATAATATGGTACAGAAAAACGCAACTTCTGGCTATTGTTGTTACCCTGAACTTAGTCTACAGGACAACACAATATTTTTTAACAAATTTATTGATTCTCTATAAGAAAACGAGCTAAAGTACGCCACGACTCGCAGCGTAACGTCACACGTTTGCACAGGCGCTTAGCTGTATTTTGACATTAAGGCTGAATATACAAATATTTTGATTTACATAGTACAATACAAAAGAGTTAAAATATCGATCTGTGTTAAAAAATTCTCAAAAAAGGCCTTTGAAAACCCTGATCTGTGATGACAGCTTCCCAAACAAGTATTAAAAATATAAACTAGTTGAAGAAATTGTCTCGTCTCTCGGACTCTGCTAATAAAAAAACTTCAAATACCCAATAACATGTTTTCGTTTAATTACTGTCTGTTATATCAATAAGATTCAATGTTCAAGTAACATGAAAAAAGAACTTCAGTCTAAATACACGTAAAAATTTTCTGTTCCAAAGTATTTTGTAGCGAACGCCTTGCCGTTAGCAGTGGGCGCGCTGAAAGCAATATCTGTCAATTTGAGCGCAGCTCCATACAGAAATGATGCGCGTGCGCATTCCAACATGCGGTATGCTACGCCGCGACGTCTATGATTTATATGTACCCATAGACGAGATACGCCGCACCTGAAGACAATGTTTCATATATTAAATCAGGTGTCCGCGACTTTACCAGTGTAAATTATAGTCTACGTCAAACGTGTATGGTTAAGAATTTTTGAAACCAGTGCAGTAGTTTAAGAGCCTATTCAATGCAAATAAACAATGAATATTTCCTCTTTACAATATTAGTAAGTATATATGATATTAGCCAAATAAGATGGTGAGAACATGAGACGAAATAGAGAAGCAAATGAGACAGATATATACAAAAGATCTATTTCGCCATTCATATGCTGAGATCTTTTAACTACACAACTGATTTTGATGCGATTATCATTCATATAAAGAGTGATTGAATTGAAGAAAAGTGATATGTATAATACAGGACTAAGTGGGCAAAGCGTTATAAACAAATAAAACTTACTTGACCGAATACTCTTCAACACTACAACAGTCAGGATCGCCTGGCAAGAGTTTGTATGCTTTCACTTTAGGTTCCACCACCAGGCAACCGATTATCTCTTTCTTCTCTATATATAGGTATGCCTGAAAATAAATTTAATATTATAATCTACATCAGGGATTATTAATGTGGTTGATGGACTGCTTGAGGGTCAAAATTTTCCAGGGACTGCCAACCTGTTTTGCTAGGACATGTCTAGGTTTACAGTGTCTTGGAATGTCCAAGATAGTAAGCAGTTTCCTTGGTTTTTAAGTAAAGCGAGATAAAACCGATGTGGTTCATTGATATACCTGTGTTGAAGGCAAAATTTTTAATGGCAGCAGATGGCGATAGGTCAATTCACACATGTATTTAATAAATTGTTACGAATAATAACATGTCAGCGGTTTGATGTTTTCCAAAAATTATTTTAGTAGATTCTGTATGTAGATCGCTCATATAAGAGGAGCTATAAATGTCAAAGTGCCAAAAGTCGTCTCTGCTTATCCAAGATGAGATTTGATATACATAGACAAAAGTAACTGTTGAAATTAAAAGTGACAGTGTCTTCTAGAACACTGCTTTTACAGAGTAAATTTTTTTCAGCTTTCAAGAAAAATTCATGACATTATATGCAATTAATATAATAATATTTGCAAGCCTTTCCGAAGGCAGAATCGGAATTACGCCTGGGTAAAAAACAAGAAATTCTATTTAGTCCATTAGATAGATAATAAAAAATATTACATACGCTTTTTTCTTTTAATTTAAAAAAAAGTGGCTTAGATAATAGGAATTAAAATTGAGGAGAGGGGCTCGCTACGTCACAACTATGCAGAAAATATACATAGGTGTGATGTTATGCGACATTTTAACTCAAATGTATCGCCGTAATTTATTGATTATACGCGTGTAATATTTAAGTAGCTTGGTGGCGTAAAGGATAAACGCCGCGGCCTGCGATCGTTGTTGTTAAGCAACTTTCGCAAGGGTCGGTCACGGGATGGGTGACCAACAAATTATTATCTCGAGCTACTTCGTGCTTCGGAAGGCACGTTAAGCCGTTGGACCCGGCTGCATTTGCAGTCGTTAATACCCTCTAATCCGCATTGGGCCAGCGTGAAGGGTCATGGCCCATCCTCCTTAACCATCCATAAGGAAGGCCTGAGCCCCAGTGGGGACGTAAAAAGGGCTGATGATAATGATTAATATTTTTCAATAATTTATCTGCCGCATACAAAATTTAGTCATATATGATGTCCCATGTTGAATTTACCAGTTTTTTTTGTGACCTTTAATGATTTGTATTCTAGTAAATAAAGATCTTATCGGTTACCGTGTATTGTTGAGTGTTGCTAGACGGCAGTGACTCTCCATATCCAAGTTGAGGATGCAGTATACGTCTTAGTATACTGTCTACTCGTTTCCATCCATTCTCACCGCCTCGGACTCTTATACATCGACCGGTATTCCACTGTTCCACCACGCATTCCTCCTTCCATCCCTGTTACATATTAATATAATAATGAAAATTATTAGGGTTTGTTAAAACTGTAATTTCATTATTTCTTTATAATAAGTATTCTGTTGAATTCCTCCAATGAGGGCTAACGCTTGAATTTGTCACTAGAGGCGCCAGTGTAGCGTGAGGTCTGCAAAATGTCAAATGTCATACTTTGTCGGTGAACTCCGCGTGTTTCTTTTCAAATGAACAAATGTTTGTGCTTATTTTGGGGTATCTGGGATTGATTTAATTATGAATTACGGGTCAATGAATATCAGTGATTAAAAAACGGATTTAAGAAAAAGAGATGTAAAATTAAGTAGAATGAAAGAACAACTTAATCAAATTTTAGTGTTTATTGGGCATGTTCGATATATTTGATGGAATGGTTTATTTATGTATTTATTATGCATGATTTAAGGTCTCGTAGTAAACAAATTTTTGCAAGACCTCTCGTGACCATCGCGCCGTCCGGAGTGCGAAAAATCGGAAGCCTTCATTGTTTGAATTAGTGACTTAACTGCCTTACCTCTAGCTATAAGATATGACATAAAAGCGATGTTATAGCGATATTTTGTTTTATTTTACTACATTGACATATCTTTTTCAGTTAGAAATTATCTTTTATTTATACTCACATTGAATCTCAGAACATCGGTGGCATTGTGATGAATGAGGTGATCATGTTCGTCTTGTGGATCTCCCACCTGTAAAATATTGAAGGATATTATATTCATACCATTTTTTGGATAATAAGTATTTCAATTCATAACCAATTTAACTTAAATGAAGTTAAAAAACACCATATGGACAAGTAGTCGGGGTTAATGTCTTATCGTGTCTTCCAAAGATCAGAGGAGCTTGAGACAATATATTTTGGTCACCCATCCGATGACCGACCTTTGCGAAAGTTGCTTAACATCTGCATCATATGTCGAACGCGCTAACCATTACGCTATTGAACTTATACCATCACTTACCTGATATATCACTCCACATTCAGTGCACTGAGTAGCTCCAAACTTCTTCTGGCCAGCGTCTATCACGTATTGATCACTACCGTTCTTCAGCAACTTCTTCACCTTCTCTGAAGTTCCTGTATTTAAATCATCATCAACATCTATAAATTGGGGAAATTAATAGGAAATGTGTGTTGGAAAATACCTGAGTACATTCTATCAGTGCTACTCATAAACAAGGTTCAACGTCAGAGTAAATTTACGCTAAAATTGCAATTTTAGTATTAGTCCATATTCATATTATACAGAGAATAAGCAAATCTACTACCTTCTAGGAGAAAATATTATTCCCGTAGAACCTCGTACGAGGTTAACCTTTGTTAAGTCTCTGTTTAATAATATGAATTTTGACTAATACAAAGAGCACTCTCAGCGTAAATTTCAGGTTACAAACTTTACGCGTCAGGTAGATTATTAAATATGTACTTTTTGCGTAATCAATAAATTACAGCGATACAAGTCCCATGTCGTCACGCTTTTGTACATTTTCTACAAAACTGTGACGTAGCCAATTCTTGTTTAAAATGAAGCAAAAAAAAATACGTATTTAATATTTTTCTATTTTCTAACAGGCAGACTATTTCAGTAGCAAATCACCAACACCTGAATTTGCCTTCCGAAACGCAAAGAAGCTCAAGATTAATAATCTTTTCAAAAGATCATACAATCTCAATTCAATATTGAATTGATTCACTAACCTTTGCTAGAGGGTGTTGTGGTGCCAGGGTTTGGATTACTAAAGATGGGGAAAAGTTTCTGAGGCGCATCTATAGATGTTGAAGTCGACGGTACATCTGAAATAGTTAATTTTTAATCAAACTCACTCGTAAAGAATAACAAAATATATAACAGGAAGAAAGCTTCTCATCAATCAAGTTGTTAAAAAACATTTCTTTATATTGAATAGTATTTTTGTGTTCAAGGTACATTTAAATTTTTGACAATACAACCACAATAATAAAATATTTTTTTAAGTAATATTAATCTATGAAGCAATGTTCATTATTAAGCAACAAACCTGCAAACCAGCAGAAATGTGAACCTATTTATCGAGCAAAGTTACATGTATGCCCTTATAGCATGAAGTTCAATGCATAATAATACAATCCTAGCATGGTTGTGGTACAGCATGGTATTATGGAAAATTCTTTATACTGCTTCTTGTATATGTGCACCTTAAATGACTAATGTCAGTAAGATTTCAGACACTTACCGGAGGCAATTGGAGCAGGTATAGTCTCTGTGGAAGCAAGGACTGCTTCAGCATTAATGTTATTCGACTGAGCCATCTTGAGAATTTGTTCATCTAGCATTTTTAGCTCACGCTCAATCTCATCTAAGTCCGGCAACTCTTCTTGTTCTAAAAAAATAAATTACATGTTACTACACTTATGTAATTTAGAAAAGTAATTCTACTGTAATCAAAATCTAACCTGGTGCTGCATTATCGCCTACAAATATGTATCCACCTTCCACTGGCAAGAACTGTCCATTCTTTGGTACATCTCCATGACTTTCTTTATAACTTTCAGGCTCTGACATCACAACATCTTGCACAACTGTCTCTTGAGCAGGCAATGACTCTTTTGACATTAACATTTGTTTAGATCCTAATTCTACAATAACTGCCTCTTTGTCGTGTGGAATACTCTGAACAGGCACAGGTATAGCTGTGACTGGTTGAAATATAGCATTTGTCTCTTCTATGACCGAGCTATTAAAGCAAGGTACTTCAGACTTCTTCTTGGTTATGGAAAGTTCAGATTCAGGAATTTCTTCTTCATTCCACTGACTAAGGAGTTCTTCTATAGTCTGCTTCTCTTTGTCAAATGGATCTGGCTTATCTGTTAAAAGGTAAAATCTAAAGTAATGTTGGAAGAGTAAATTTTGTGAATTTATATGTGATTTTTAGGGTAAATTCGTTTTTTCTCGACAGAGGATTAATTATATTTGTTTGCTCCACACTTAAGCCGTATAATTTTAATATGCTTTGAGAGCTCATATAGCAAGGCTTGTGTGTGAAAAGTTCCAATTAATTGTATGCAGTAGTTTTTGGTTGGTGCCCTTTTAAATATGGAGAGCGATAAGCAGCATTTTCGACATATCTTTCTGTTTTACTACAGAAAGGGTAAAAATGCTGTTCAAGCCACAAAGAAATTTACTGATGTGTATGAAAAAGTTTGTTGATATTATGCCAGTGCCAGAACTAAATTTCGACCCGGCAATTTAGATGTCGAGATGCACCACGTTCGGGATACCGGTTGAAGCTGGTACGAGGGTCAAACTGAAAGTTCTTAGAACTGGCCACTTATAAACAATATAATAAAAAAATAATTCTAAAATTTGAAAATATAACTCTTTGCCAATATTACTGAGTATATATTTCATTCATTTGTCATTTGTTTTACGATTTGGCGGCAAATTGAAAATTGTCTGTGTCACGTCATCATGAATTTAACACGAGAAAATTTTCGTGCAATGATTTTTTATGACTTTCGATGTCATTTAAGTCAACAAGAAAGTTATGATAGACTACGATTGGCCTTTCACGATGAAGCCCCATCTCGTGCGACTGTTTACAACTGGTTTAATGAGTTTAAACGTGGTCGCACTAATCTCACTGATGATTTACGTGAGGGACGGCCTTCTACGGCGACGACTGAAGATAACATCTGTGTTGTGCGGCGTATGATAGAGACTGACAAAAGAGTGACCTATCAACAGATTCGGACAAGCTTAGGCATCGGTATGAGTCAAGTGCACAAAATCCTCCACGAACATTTAGCGGTCAGGAAGCTTTGCGCCCGGTGGATACCTCATAATTTGACTGAGGCTCAAAAACTCCATCGTGTGGATTGGTGTCGTAAAATGATTGAAAGATTTAACGGAGGTGACTCAAATGCTGTGTTCGACATACTAACAGGTGACGAAAGCTGGATTTACTGTTATGATCCTAAAACCAAAAGACAATCTGCTCAGTGGGTGTTTCCTTTCGAGGAGTTGCCAACTAAAGTGAAGAGAGATCGAAGTGCAGGAAAAAAAATGGTGGCCTCGTTCTTTGGAAGGATAGGTCATTTTGCAACAATTGTGTTAGAGGATCAAAAAACAGTTTCTGCAGAATGGTACACTACCAATTGTTTGCCACTTGTCTTGGAAAAAGTTCGAGAGAAACGACCTCGCAGTAGGATCCTCCTTCACCACGACAACGCCTCGTCGCACACCGCCAAGCGAACGATCGACTATTTGGCGACATCAAACGTTGAATTACTGGGTCACCCGCCGTATAGCCCCGACCTCGCGCCTTGTGATTTTTATTTATTTCCAAAAATTAAAGAAAAACTTAAAGGAAAGCGGTTTATGAATGCTGAAGAAGCGGTGGCTGCGTATCGCGATGCCATTGAAGAGACCCCTAAGGACGAGTGGGCAAAGTGCTTTTCCCAGTGGTTCCATCGCATGCAGCGGTGTATTGACGTGAATGGACAATATTTTGAAAAGATATAATAAAACTAATAACTGGCTAATGTAATCAGTTTTTGATTTTCTAAGAACTTTCAGTTTGACCCTCGTAAAGACGCGATAAAGGCATTAGTTGAAGCGAACCGGCGAAATACAACACGTGAGATCGGATTGAGATTAAATTTATCAAATTCAACAGTTCATGACCACTCGAAAGGCCTGGGATTATCCTCGATGCTCGATGTATGGGTTCCAAGTGTTCTCACAGAGAGAAATCTGTGTCGCCGCATTGACGTCTGCGAGTCGCTTTTCAAACATCACGAAAATGATCCGCTTTTGAAGCGCATTATCACTGGGGATGAAAAACGGATTGTAATTTCGTTCTGTTTTCCTGTCTGTATGTGTAACGTCAAACGTTATGGAACAAAAAAGATGAACTGGCTCAAACCTTTTCCAAAGGCGATTTTCATCAAAAAAAGGTGATGCTGTCTGTTTGGTGGGGTTTTAAGGGACTCACTATTTTTGAGCTTTTACTGGATAACAGAACGATTAAATAATGATAAATAATTATAAAATCTTTATTTGCAAAAATATGGTTTTAAATTGGAAGTCTACTGTTATCAGCTGGACAAACTGAATGATGCACTTTAACAGAAAAGGCCAGAACTAATCAACAGGAAAGATGTAGTGTTTCACCAAGACAATGCGAGACCTCACACAAGTTTGGTCACTCGCCAAAAGCTACAGCTTGAATGGGATACAATTCCACACCTGCCATATTCTGCAGACCTGGCACTATCAGATTATTATTTGTTCCGGTCACCCTAAAATTTTTCTGATAGTAAAACCTTCATCTCAAACAAGGAGGTCAAAAACTACCTCGATCAATTTTTTGCTAGCAAAGACCAAAAATTTTATGAAAGTGGAATTATGCCACTACCAAAAAGATGACAAAAGGTGTTGGACTAGAATGGTCAAGATATAATTTAATAAATAATAATACTTATAAATAATAGTGTAAATATAACTTACCGAAAACTAGTTCCTGTGATGAATTTTGACTTTCCATAGTTGTGTTATTTGTGCTAATATTAGATAAAGCACTGTTATTGAGTGTAGAGTCGGCAGTATTGTTTAGAGAAGTTCCAACTTTCATAATTATTGAATTGTCTTTATAAATTTTAGGCTTTCTGATCTTATGTTTTACACCCAAGTTTATTTGACCTGGTCTTCGTTTACGTCTATTTGAACGTGAGTGGGTGAATGGACGGCGATGATGAGTATTTGTGACTTCTATGGCCTTAGATATTTTAGCAGTGACATTGGTATTGAGCTCTGGATTACTTTTACCATAAAATGACTTAGCAGAGAGGATTTCTTTCAATCGATCACTATTAAAAAGTGACAAACGGGCTTTGGGAACTGTATTGTCCAACCTTGGATACTTAGAATGAGGGCCGGATTCTGTCATACTGTCATTTCGAAGTCTTTTGTGACTTTTATCATTGTCAAATACAGATTCAGGGCTTTCTTCAATTTCAACTATAGAACGTCTGTTGTGACCCAGTTTTGGTGGAGATTGGCTGACTTCAATTGTATTATGAGGTGTTTTGAGCATTTGTGTGGGTGATATGATGTTGCTCATATCCATTTTTGTGAGACACACTATGGCAGTTTTCATAGGAGTCACATTCTTCCTTTGCTCAACAAGAACACCTTTGAAACTATTTGTCTGTGGTGTTTTCAATTTTCTTACTGATCTACGTAAACCTTTTGAAGGGGTGTTTTCTTTTGAGTCTGTACCAGAGTCAGTGTCAAAGTTTAAATCTTTTAAAGAGCTACTACAGCTTTCCGTATCAGCAATGAGACTTGCAAGACTTTTTCTTGCACGACTTGAAGTAGATGATGTTGTGTGGACACTTGCACAAGAATGTGTAGACGAAGGAGTGCCAGGGTGATGGTGGAAGTGTGGGGTAGCAGGAGTAGATGCAGACCCTGAACATTTCCCGTCTGGACATGAATAACGAGTCTGATATTTCTTAAGTGTAAACGGCGATTTAATAAAGTTCTTCAGATCATGGTTTTCTTTCAGTAGCTTTTTCTGGCTAGATTCCGCTGTAAAAACATAATTTATATATATTTAAATTATAATTGTAGCATATTTTCTTCGCAATAAATATTGGAATAATACCAGCTGAAAGTTACGACCTTCAATATAAGTTCATAACCTATTTTCATTGTGATTGATCATATAAAATTTATTAGCTAATAAGTTATTATTGTTCTTTGATGGAATTGAAGTTATAAACTGCAGTAGGAATTGAAGTTTAATGTCCTATTGCAGTTTAATTAACACATTTTGTTTTTCATGCTTTTAAGACTTCACTGAAGCAAAGCAATAACAGGCTATAGCCTATAAGGTTAAAAACTTAATCATTAAATATTTCCATTTAATCAGTTAATGGAAACTTATCTTTATTCACTATTAACATAGCAGAGTAAATAAAATCTGATTCTGATAACCTTTATAAGTAATTAGATAAATCAACAATATTTTTAGTTTTTAGGTGTATGTAATAGTAATATAAAAGTTCAGTAAAAATGGGGGACATTATGAAAATTTAAACATTCCAGAAGGAGGCAATAAAATGAGACAAAAAAATGCCATGTCAATGGTACTCACGCCATAGAGTTCTTCCAAGTCTTTTAGGGGTGCTAACATCATTGTCTTCTCCAGAACTGGAATCCAAAGTGCTGATGATGCCTAGGTCGCAGTCTTCACTATCACTTTCGCTATCTACGACCGGTAAATGTCTGTGTTTAGTCAGAGAATCTCTAGCTGGTTCACATTCTCCTTGAAACAGTCCTTTTTTCCTCTCTGACATTTTCGGCGTGTGCGTATGCGGAATACGCGTTGAACGCCGAGGTGTTATTGCGGACATAATTGAGGATTACGTCTCTAAAATCAACTAGGAATAACAATTGTAGCTTCACGAATAATTGCTGAACCTCTTCAAGCAAAGCTACAACACTCTACCTTTGTCCTCGGTAAATGTGTAAAGGCGACACATTTTGTGTACCATACACTAATTCACTATATAAAGTACTTTAATGATTAATAACAATAAACAAAACTGCAAAAGATATCCAAAAAAGCATGTAAAATTCAGCATGAAACGTTAGAAAAGACCACTGTAAACGGTAATTGTTTGGCGCGTAAACACCTGTCATATGTCTATTGAAATGTTACCATATTTAAAATATTACACACAGGTACCTATATCATTTTTTATAGAACATTTACTTTTCAATATTTTTCTCAATAAATAAAATTCGTTTGATAGTTCTTATCTTTCCAATAAAAATATAGCACCATAATTTCGAATAGATTCCAAAGGACAGGTATTTTCTAAATTCAGTTTAATAGTATTAAATATTGATTATGTAGGAATTGTTAAAGAAAATATTTTTTATATTAGACTAATAAATTATTAAGAAACATATTGTTTCGATTTCGGTAGAAACTTCTGTTTGGTCGGAAAACTCTAAAAAGGCAAATAAAAGAAAAATTTTAGTTAATACATTTTAATATGAGCTATTCTCTCTACTAAAGATTTTTTTTTGTGTTTACTGGCTAATAATAAGAACAAACAAAATATTGTGTTCTTTTATTAAATTAATCACGTAGGTTTTAGTCAAAAACATACATGGAACCGTAAATCACCGCCAACTTCAATACAGGTTTCAATATCTAAGCTTTGAATTTTTTTTTCTTTATTATGTAACATGCTCTATTTTAATGTCAACATAGTACCAAAATTACAATATTTTTTTAGTGCCTCCTTTTTAAATATTTCGCATTAGGATTACAATTTTCAGGAATTATTGTAATTTTCACCTTGTAACACTGATGTTCATTTTTGAATAATGGCGCCAACGTGCGTGCATGGCAGTTTCGTTTCCGTACAAGTTCCGTACGCTTGTTTCGTTGCATCTGTCTATTTTTTTTTATAAAACGATTCCTATACTGGTCTATCAGATTTCCATAATAAGTTGTTCCTTACTGACATCCTCTATTCCTTATAAAAAAATACCAATTACGAGATCTCGCGCGATTGGCACTTTTTTGTATTTACTGTTTTACTGTAATATTTATTCGAATCACAATTTTTGAATAATTAGAAAAAAAATTGGTTTTATGAAATAAACATTTATTTTTACGGGTATTTTAACTAAGTGTTATGTATTTTAATATTGTTTGACGCAATTATATTTTTTTATCTAATAACCTTTAAGAGAGTAATTCATGTATTATAATCTCGGAAATAATTTTCACATTAAATATGCTTGGCTTTCAGAGGCAATAAATCGATTTAGTTAGGTTAAAGTGCCGAGTAAAGATTATATAGTCATCCAAGTACTAATCTTTTAAGAAACTAAACTGATAAACAACCAGTCTTTGCTCATGTAAAAAAACAATACACGGTTTTTTATAACAAAAATGACAAGAATATAAAAACTAAAAGAAAACCCATTAAGTAAGTTGAATTGACATTATTATTAAACTGAGAATGAAAGAAAACTATGTGTACCCAGAGATCTATTAGAAATAAGAGAATAAATTAACAAAATATCAATTTACCAATCAATTTAAAGGTTTATTCAATTCACCTCACACGTCATTATTACGAATAATTTTGAAAGTAGCTTCTTAAAAAGCACAAAATATCCAAAGAATTGTATGCTAATCGTCTTATTATTGTGCTGTCCAGATAACCAGCCACTGAGAAGGCTCTTTTGAAAACACAAGAACTGTAAAAGTGTAAAACTTCGCCTTTTAACCCCGCGGACTCGCATAAATTCGACCTGCCGCACTTATAATAAATCGTTTTTATGCTCGATTACAATTTAGTTAAACTCGCGAGATCTCGCCCATTTTTCGTCCGAGATCAATTCGCTAAAAAAGGCCGAGATCTCGCGAAAACGAGATCCCGCCAGAACGAGATTGCATCCCCTATTGAGGATATATTTTTTCTATTTAAAACAAAAAATAAAAGTTTTATGTTTATCAATGTTTTTAATTAATTTCCTTATGAGGGGTAGTTTTTAAGGGTTTTTATATAGTGAAATATCAAAATACCGGCTCTTTCATATAAATAATACATATTAAACATGATTTGAACATACTTGGTCTTATTATTTATTTTTTAAATATGGACTTGTTCCGAAATACACGGAAATTTTTAATTAGGCAGATTAACGGTGCCTGTCACTTTGACTGCATAAAGTTAAATACTCATTCAGGGGTCTTTCTGTGCGCTCTGCTACGATAAGGTCCCATTTAGATACCATGCAGTTTAAAACTACAATATAAAGGTAATTTTTTTTCGCTATTTATTACGTAGGGGTAATGGCATTCACAAAAACCATGTCTGGCAAAAAGACATTTTTGTGAATGCCATTACCCCTATTAGAGCTGGTGAGTTTCTTGCTCGTTCTTCTTATCAGCCAAAAGACGTTCAGAATGGTAAGTGTAAGTTTTACGCTAACGCGTTCACCAGTGAAGAATCTGTATGGAGATTTGTTGTTCTTGGTAGGTAAAGCTAGGGGCGCTGTACCGGATTCCATACTAAAATCTTAACGCGCTCACGATCGACAGTCAACGTAAAAGTCAAAAAAAAAAACTTACACTAAGCCATCTAAACGAGTGTTAGGGTAAAAAATTTTGAACGTTTCAAAATAGACTTTGACTTTTGATTATATTAGATCAGTTTTACATTCACATTGCTATACTGAAAAATATTTTTTGAAAAATCCACCTTGTCCCTGGCACTCGAGATGGGATTCGAATCCATGATCTCTCGCAATCCGACTGCTCTAACCACTGCGCTACCCAGGACCTAACAAGACTGACGAATCTTTCAAGCACTTTTTACTTTTACATTTCTACCATGTCAACATTTTATACCATGTTTTAGGCAAATAATTGTTTTATTATTTATTATACATATATTATTTATCTTATTCAAGTAAAATAAAACACTCAGGTACAATGTTAAAAAATATTTCGAGCTAGCGGCCTCTTGGGTCGGGTGCCCGTGGTGTTTGGGTAGCCCTGCCACCCTATAGTTACGCCACTGCAGATAAATGTATGCTTTAATTATTCGAATTTCAAAGATTAAAAAAAAAAGATTTATTCTTTGAATATGAGTCCATTTCCACGGATTTGAACGGTACAAAATTTTCAGACCAGCAACGCTTACCTATTAAGTTTCTTTTGTCATTGGCAATATTACATTCTTTATTCAGTGTACCTACATAGTCTTTTATTTTGTTGTTATTTTTTATGGGTTTCATTCAAATATTTTACCTAGAGCGCCAACTTTTATTTCTCGACTCGACCCAACGAATCTATAGCTTATTATTACTGACCGTTACAATACTTTACACGAAGCCAGTAACCCAGTAAGCCAGTCTAGTAAACTTAAGATTGGCTTGAGGATTCTCTCCAATTATACGAATCCTATATAAATTAGCTTTAAATGATTGAAAATCTTTTTCTCAATAGAGGTCGTCTTAGGGATAGCATCTCTCTAGTAGGTATCATGTTATAATTTTGAAATAAATCAAAGTGTATTCATAAAGCTTTTAATTTTTCTGACGACTTTCGCCTGGTTTGAGACGTTAATACTGCAGCGGCTACAACTCGAAGGTTGTGTGCAGTTGTGCTACAGACGTCACAGTAGCTATACATACATTTCATTAATTAATTAATTTTGCTACATAAATGGGGAAAATAAGAATCCAAGTTGTATTTATTGACAAGTAAAGAATATTTACAAACATTAAAAATAACGAATAACAAATAGAATTGAAACAAAATGGTTTTCTGTCTTGAAATAAAAATAAAACTATATCAGACGATTATTTTAATTGGTGATTTCATTGGAACAAATAAACAGTCCTTGCTGGGACTCCAACCCAATCCAAGGGTACTCTGTGATTCACTGAAAGTTAAATCATAGTCATTACTTGAACCGGCATTATTTTGCAATAAAGGGAACTTAGATTTAAATTTGCGTAATTTGAAACAAGCTGAATATAGTTGATTATAATATAGTTGAGACATATAGCTGAATATAGTTGAGATATATAGCATAAATTAGATTCGTCATCAGCGCCCTTAAATCGTCTACATAAAAATCATTTTGGATGATTATTTTAATTAAATCATCCTCTCAGTCCTCAACTTGAGTAAGACATTTTGTGCTTAAATAACTGGCACTAGCAGTACCGTAAGAGACGGCATTTAACTGATTTTTTTTAATAGGCATTGTCTTATTATTTCTCCACAGGATTACTTCAAGGTAGTGATCTTCTACATTAACTTCTACTTGGCGGTACATCTTTTCAATGTCGCCTGACAAAAGATATTTGTATAGTCATGCACGTATAAAATAGAAGAGTAAAATTTTAGTAACAATTTAAATATTTAGATAAGATAGGGCGTTTATTGTGACTTTTGAACTTTGGAAATGAATTTGGATAAAGAATTTAACACCCATAAGTATAGAAAAATAGGGGAAAACCAGGGCACTTATCTTATTGACTGTAACTCTAAGGGTGATATTTTAGTACATCACTGGGCTGGGCGAAGAAAACAAGTGTCCCTTCTTTGACTTCTTTGATGATACGCCGATTCGAAATCTCGCTGGTGCACCTTCAACAGGACTTTGCTGCTGCTTCGGGTACTGACTGCCCAGTTCAATTCTGTTCAACGGATATCTGTAATTCTTAAACTTTTAGGAGTTTTGAATTGGACCTGTCACGGTCGCCAATTTGATGTTTTCGCTATATAAATGGGGAAAATAATAACCCAAGTTGTATTTAGATGATTATAGTAAAAATTTATTATTGACAAGCAATCAGAGAATATTTACAT